ATAAAATCCATGCTAACATCCACCTAAGGCTAAAAAGGCACAAGCAATGGCATGTAAAATTCAACATTAGTAGTTGCACCCTTAAACACTTGGCGATTTGATGATTCCGCATAAACTTATCCACTTCTCTCCGAATGGTAGGCCAAAATTACGAACTTTGAACCAATTGCAATATTCTATCTTGCCTACGTGACCCTCCCTATACAGACTCCTTAATAATCTACATACGTAAACTACAATCGGGAATATAAAGCTGGTTTTGTTTGAGTAGGAACCCATCATGCAAGAGGAATTCTATCTTCTCCCTTATGTGAATCTTCTCTATAACAATAGAGAAATATGGATCGATATCAAGAAAATCATAAAATGAATCTACATCGTGTACTTGTTAGTAAGCAACTCCTCCTACTTAGTGCATCTACCACTTTGTTAGTGACACCAACCTTATATTTAACCGCAAAAGTGAATTATTGTAGATAAGCAACCCATCTCACATACCTTGTCGAGACTTTATCCCGCTTGTGCGAGTGCTTCATTGCTTCATGGTTAGTATATAATTCGATTTTCTTTTAGAATAAATAATGCCTCAAATGCTTGACTACTTAAACAACCGCATAAAACTCCACATCATAAGGACATGATAGCTTTTCGCTGAAGTAGGTCGGTGGTCTATTATTCGACTTAACACCGCCCCAATACCTAATTTTGACATATCACCGTATAGCTCGAAGGACTGCATAAAATCCGGCAATACTAAAATGCAGGTAAACTTCAACCCCGCTTTAATTTTTTAAAATGCCTCTTCGATCTATGTAAACTTTACTCCTTTCATGTAGTCGGTAATCGAGGGCATGATGCTGCTGAAGTGATGAATAAAACGTCGGTAAAAAGAGGCAAATCCATGGAAGCTCCGAATCTTAGTGATGTTGCTAAGTCATGGCCATTGTCTCACCATCTCGACCTTAGACTTATCTACTTCCAATCCATCTCCGGAAACAATATAACCAAGAAATAGCAACTTGGGTTCTATGAACACATACTTTTTAATGACTACATAAAACTTATCTCTATGAAGCATTGTCAAAACCTCTCTCAAATACTGAACATGGACTTCGGGATTAGTACTATAAATTAGAATATTATCAAAATAAACAATGATAAATTTACCGACAAATGACCTCAATGCTTAATTTAGGACATGTATAAAAGTACTTGGTGCGTTTGACAACCTAAACGGTATTACTAATCATTCATATAGCCCCTCATGTGTCCGAAAAACCATCTTCCACTCATCTCCAAGGCTAATACATATCCGATGATATCTACTTTTCAAATCCAATTTTACAAAGATCGTTATGCCACCGATCCGATCAAGTAAGTCATCTAACAATGAAATAGAAAACCTATACTAGACTATGATCTTGTTAATGGCATGATTGTCTACACACATATGCCAAGAACCATTCTTTTTTAGCTTCAACAAAGTAGGCACGACACAAGGACTCATGCTCTCTCACACATGCCCCTTGGCAAGCAGCTTTTCAACCCGCCTCCTCAACTCCTCATGCTCACCGGGACTCATTCCGTAATGGGTTCTATTGGGTAATATAGCCACAAGCTCTAAATCGATCTACTCGTTGGATATCTCATAAAGGTGGTAACTCCTTAGGCAACTCCACTGGGAATACATCACAAAAGTCTACCACTATAGGGGCTACTACATCCGGCACTACCATATCAATTACGGCTTCTTTTCCCATCAACACATAAACCACTCCCGAATTTTGCACCTCTTTCTTAAACCAAGCTAACGACACCAACTTACTATTATCCCATGTAGGCTTAGAAACAATTGGATTCTTGCTAGGCATAAGCACAATTTTGACCCTATTAAACAAGAACCTATAGGTACCTCATGGGTTACACTCCTATCATACTACTTGGTCTACCCAATAACTAATAATATGTATCCATAGCAACCACATCACATCATACATCATCCTTCTACTTGAAACCAATAGAGAATGAAACTAAACCTTATTGGGAAACATTTATCTCGTCTCCCTTTTTAAGCCAAACTAGCTTGTAAGGTTTCGGATGTCCCTCCGTTTTAAGACTCAATTTTTCCACTTCCTCATCGGACATAATATTTTCATAACTATCAGCATCAATGAAAAAGGTGACATACCTTAGCTCAAATTATGTAGGTGAATTGTAAGATATTACTTTTTAACCAGTCATCCTCAACGACCCTAGGATTCAAGCAGGACCTCCTAACTATCAATGTCATCCCCTCATCACCTATAACAACCTCCTCTTCTAAGGCATCTCTATCATCATTAACGTGCCAGCTCAACATCACCTTCATCATATTCCTCTATATCGGAAAAAACACCCTCTTTCTTTCCTTTTGACACTCGGATTGCCTACGACTAATTTTGCCATAGCTGAAGCACTTTATACTATTACTCGGTTGCCTTACTAGGCTATCTTGTAACTAGGATGTTTCAGCTCATCGTTATCGTCACCTCATGCTTGGCCTACACCACCACCACCACCTAGTTGTTACTATTGGTATTGCCTCATATACTCGAAGGGATTAGTGAAACTATTGGAATGGCACGACCGGTTCCGAACCGATAATTTTTTCTAAAAGGCCATCGAAAGACACACAAGGTTGAACATACTAATGGAGTCCTTAATTTGTGGCTTCATTCCCCCAACATATCTCATCACCAACTCGATCTTTTGTCTCTTCAATTCATCTTAAGTTAACAATTGATCGAATTCGAGTGGTATAATCATCTACTAATCAAGCCCCTATCTCAAATCTTGTAATTGTTGGTATAACATCCTTTAGTAATTATACGATAAAAAGGTAGTACACATGTGTTTCTTTATCTTTTCCCAAGACGTAATCTTAGGCTTACCCATTTGGTTTTTGGTCAACTTCGATTACTCCCACTAACCAATCACCCTCTTTCTAAATCCGGTAGCTACTAAGGCACCCGTTTATTCTTAGGAACATCCTTAAACTCTAGAATCTCCTCCATTATCGACGTCGGTCTAGAAACTCTTCCGCCTATAGGGTGTCATAAAATTCAAGAATCTCTCGTCCGCATACCACTCTCCCACCTCCTACTAGCGAGGTTCCCTCATAGGAACTCTATGTCATCTAGCTAGGACGTTCTCATCATCCTCATCGCCTTCAAGCTCGGCCTATGGCGCTTCTCAATGATGATTCCAATTCTAGTTCCTAGTGGTCTCTACTCATGTTCATCGTCGGCACACTTATCTCGCTATGCCAACACCCCTATCTGCTATGTCAACTACTTCATACTATCATTTATCTACTCAACTCGCTACTCTAAATGCACCATATCGGTGCGCTCATATAGCTCATCCATATCTCGCTCTCGATACTATTGTCTCTTTGGCGGCATGATCGGAAAGCGATATCCGAGTTTTGACACCAACTAACATAGCAAAAACTCACAAGAAAAGGATAAATACCATTGATTTGAAATCCGGATACCGATCTACTATAACATATTGAATTGTACACACAAATACCGGAAAATAGGCTTCAACCCCATTGATTTAAAGAATGCCGAAAATTGAAATACTCTCTCTCAAAAGTTTATTAATCAAGTAAAAGTGACATTTTCAGCCTAGAAGTCTTACATAATTAGTAAATTTTAGATCAAAACCCTAAAGAGGTTTGAAGAGGAAACAAACACTAGAAATCCAAAATTAAATATGAAAAATCTCGAAAATCCATAAAATCGTGCGAAACATTAAAATGCAATTTTGAGGGCCTAAATGATTTTTTCCGGCAAAATCACCCCTATCGATGAAGCCGATTAGTTTTGCTTGTTGGCTATTCCGATATCAAATTAAGCCAAAAAAATCTCAAAATTAGGTCTAAAATCCCAAATCACGTCATCATCTGCTATTGTGCCGCTCTATGAATTCCAAGGCTTTTTGGTCCACATCACAAAGTTGCCTAACGATCATTCTCAATATATATATATATATATTGATTTTTTTGGAACTTAAAGATGAATATTTTTGTTTCTCCATTTATTTTTTGCATTAATTTAGATTTAATTTTTTAAAAAAATTTATTTAATTAACTTTAAATTTTTAGAATTTTATTTTAATAATTAGGTTAGATAATTACTTGATAAAGGAATTATACAGACCTCCCAGCTTTTAAGGACTCATGATAAATTTTTTTTAACAAATAATAAATATAAAAAAACTAAAAAAAATCCTCAACGAAATCTCCTTTTTGATAGTAACTCGTTATTAACAAAAATTAGAAAAAAAATAATAATAAATTTCTTAACAAAGTCTCCTATATGATAGGAATTATTGTCGGATAAAGAACATACCATCAACATTTAATAATTAGGATGTTCTTTGACACACCAGTTGTGTTTAGGTTTAAAATGGATTCAATATTTGAACCGACATGTCTCCCGACGAAGGAGTTTGACGATCGTTTCAATACGATGTCACGTTTGAAATTAAAAAACTTAATTTGACTTGAAAAAGTAGAGTTTAAATCGAAAATAATTTAGCATAAAGAATATTTTAGGACATGAATTTAGGAATATATATACATATATATAATTTGACTTGAAAAAGTAGAGTTTAAATAAAAAATAATTTGGTACAAAGAAAATATTTTAAGAAATGAATATATATATATATTTAAATGTAGATGTGGCACATCCTGTTCAACCCAGGGTGAGTTCTCAGTTGAGGTGGTTTTTTAGCTGTTAAATCCAATTCAGTTTGGTTTTCGTTGGGTCAATTGTATAGACGATCCATGCTCTCAGTCTAGACAGGTTCCTAATTTCCTACTCGAATTAAATCAGTTTGTGATATTTTTTGAACTTGAATTCCATATAAAAAAAAAATGTAAAGAGTTCACTGTCCCTGCTACAGAACTATTAGTTATTGGGTTCGAATACACAAATATTCAATTATCTCTAGATTAATGAAATGGGTTCAATGATCAACGACGATACTCTATTCTTGGATCTGCTATCTGGTGCTCCGTGACCATCTCCATGCTGGTATGTGCAATGGGCAATTCTAGCAAGATTAGTGGCTGTTCTGACAAAACGTCTAGGGAAAGGAGTTTCGTTATCAATTTGACATTTGTTCATGTTCTTCCAAGCTTTTTGAATCAATTTATGTAGGTGTTCGCGTGCCTCAGCTTCAGAAACACCGGTTTCATGCATGAAGCAAGAGATTGAATTAGCTGTCTCTCCTCTAGCTAACTCTGCCTGCAAATATAACCACGGGAAGAATGTTAGTATGCCACATACATCTTGATCGCAAGATTAATAATTTTCTTCAGCAAATCTAAATCATATATACTCGTACCGATGAAGTGCCTAAATCATTCCAAAGTCGAAAGATAACTGATGGACAACGCACTAATTCATCGTAGTTTACTAAGTAATCAAGTGCCTGCTCGGAGATGCTGTCGCCCAAAAGAAAATAGGCATGGCTAAGTATAACAGTTCCTGATACAGATCGCCATGCATTTTCAAGATATTCATCAAAGGATGGTGTGATTTTGTTGTAGCTCCATTTTGCTTCTTGTAAAAATGATTTGCATAAATCAGCCCACTGTAATAGTGACAATAATATTATCCGAATTTAATTATATAATTGAAACTTTGATGTCGTTGAGGAATCAATACAGTAACTATGAAATTAGATGAACATACTGCTTTTGTCAGATAAGGAAGGGCATCTTCTCCTTGTTCTTTAAGGTGGTCATATGCCATTTCATTAACAGTGTTGTAAAGGGCTAAGAAGCATAACTTCATGTAGTCTGGAAGATTTCTCACAGCACTGACATCCCATCTGATGACAAACAATTGAAAATTTTTGAACAAGATCGTTGGCAATCAGGAAAACAATGAGTTGCCCAATACAAACCTTTCAACAGCCTCCGTGAATAGTTCCAATTCATCCAAAGTACCATAAACATCATAGACATCATCAATGGTGGTTATAAATGATGTCACTTTTGTGAGTCCTTTGCGGCATGAGCTAAATTCAGGTTCGAAAGCCATTCCAACAGTCCAAAAAAAGCACTCCATTAGTCTGTCTCTGCTAAAGCTCAACTTTTTCATCAAGCCCAAATCATGCCACCACCTTCATCATTGACACCCGGGAATTAAATACGTATAAAACTAAAGCAATAACGTTGCAGGCTAGCAAAATCATTAGTTTGTATCCGCTAAAGCTCAGCTTGATTAATTTCTTTATGGATTAGTTTGTTTTTAGTCATACCTTGACAGGTCATGGAGATCTCTTTGCAAGACCGATTGCACCATGTTGAAATCCAACTTGGACAGTTCGAGAAGTATGGGATTTGCATCCTCCCTTTTACTGTAAGATTCAATATACCATCGTGCTTCTAGCATAATCATTTTGTGATGCAATGGAACATCCAGAGCATGACTGACTCTTTCAGCAGTTATAGAGTCTAAGTTTCCTAGATGGTTTTTTAAGTACATGCTAGTTTGTTTCATTGCCTTGTCTAAAATTTCTTCTCCTTCATAACCAAGATGTGAAGCTTCATACAAACTAAGCATTCCTTTGATATCCTTGTGAAGATAGGCCAAGAAATTGCCTTGATCATCTAGAAAACCCTCAAAAATATCTGCAGATCACATAAACATCTTGTTTTATTAAATCATGGTGGTCCACATGAAAAAAACAGTTGTCCTAGAAATTGTAGACCACATAAAATGAAAAAAAGTTCTTTTAGCTTTTTGTCATGCTTCTTCAATTATTGTGATCTAATGAGAAAAAATGGCTATAGTTCAAGGAGTGTTTACACGATTTAGCCGCTAAATGGAGATACCGCCAAAATGCTCTACAAGACATAAATTTAACCAATGCTGGAAGCCATAGAAAAATGTCAAGAACAAATTAAAATATGCTACGATCATGAAAATGTACCTTGAGAGACTTCATAGCCATGTTGCCTGAGGAGCCTGAAGATCAGAGCAGTGGCATGGAGAGATTTCCCTATAATTTTGAAATCAGATCCTTCTAACAAGAAAACTTTTTCAAGTTTATTCTTTATGTCCGATTTGAAGCGGTGGCCCAACGCTAACCTTTGGATGTCATCGATCATTTCAAGTATGTTCAGTAACTCCGTATCAACCTTGTTAATCATGGACCTAACCTCCTCTTCTAGCTTCATTGCCTTCTCTTTATACATTTCATCCTAGGCAGCAAATGCATGAAATGATTAGAAGCAAAGCCAAAGTAAAATTTGGATATGTCATGATTAATTAATCATATATATAATTAGTGCAATAGTCATTAAGTTGTATGTTTAGTTACCGAATAAACAGTGTTTAGAGACTGCAGAAAGTTGTAACTCCATGTGGTTTGCTGATAATTAGCTGACTTCCTTTTATTTGATGAATTCAAATTTTGTGGGCTTAGAGAACAATGGATCTGCGAAGTTACCTCAGTATTTGGAAATGCATTTGGTAGAGGATATTTTGGCCGGACATTGCGTGTTACCGGGCACGAATGGGGCAAGAAGAAAAGATGAAGTGCTCCCATGGCAGTGATTCTCAGTGTCTTTGCAAAATTAAATGCATGTGCATGGAGCGTTATATAGAGAGTACTTCGCTAGATTTATGTAAGTGATTTATTACCGCATTAGGATCCATAGTTTAAATCCTATAAATGTGATGCACGTGAATGTGAATGACCTGTTTAAATCCAATTTGAGAAGAATGTAATTTCAATATATGACGATTTGAACCGACGACTCGCCAACTTTTGTCCGATTATGATATCAATTGATTGATGGTCTTATTGAAGTGAAATTGTTCAAACACATAAGGACTTCTCTTGAAAAAACGTGTACGTTTTGTGCTTTGACATATTAACTATTGATACCAATTAACTTAGTAAATAGTAATTTTTATAAACATAAACAAAGCATAGTCTAATAAGTTTTTTTTCAAAGTTTTGCGTCATAATAACTTTAACTTATTATGTAAAATGAAAAGAAAAAGAAGAGAACATTCTCTATTTTGTGGACCAATGTCTAATGAATTTCCTAATGGAAAAAAATGTTCTTTCGTATGTATATATATATATATATATATAGAATGTATATATATAGAGAGAGAGAGTATAAGTTCCATCAAGGGACTATTTAATTTATTTGTTGGTGTACGGTACCCCTTCATTTGCAAAGCTAATTAAAGGAAAAGTAACCGTATAAGAGCGTGATTTTAATTTTGAATGATAAAACGAACGAGGAAGATGTGAAATGAAGATGTCCTGTCACAGATATTTTAGCTTTAATGTTTTCTAGTCGATCATGTTCATGTCGGGACCATTCGAGGATACCTATGGCCTATGTTCCAACTTCCAAGGCGTGTATCACATTGGAGGAGTGCTAGATATCAACCACAATGCTTCAAACATTCAAATTCAACTAATTTGGTTTCCCTAGAGTGAGTAATATTTATATGAAAATTTTCACATGTTCTAATACAAATTCAATTTATTAATTTTTTTCATATACTCATAAAGTATTTTTTTCCAATATCATCAAAATCAATTAAAGTTATATTTGCTTCTTCTTTTTTTTTTTTTTTATTGTTACCATAGTTTTGACTTTCTAAAGTTTAAAATTTGTGGCTTGATGGTTTTTCTTCGCAAATCTAGTGTCAACCTACAATGGAATAGCTATATTCTTTGAAGTTTAATTAGTTCAAATGATATTAAATTCATGCGCTTTTTGGACATATATCACACCGTCCAAAATACAAAATATTTTAATTTTTATCATAACATTACAAAACGACATACCACCTAAAAATACGATGTCAATCTTTTTTCTTTAAAATTTAATAAAATATTCGTTTTTGAAATACACATATAACACACATATAGAATTTAATATCCAACTATCATGAGAAAATATGTCAAAAATTTTGGAGATTATGAGGACATCTCCATAGTTTTACCACCGTAAAAAATTTTCATCATTATCAAATTTATACATCTTTTTAATTTTTTTTTAAGACAATCTTGCTTGATGAGAAATTCTTTGCAAATATAATATTTAATGTTATTTCTGCAAGATTTGGAGTCAGATCTAGCACTCTAAAATTTCCTTTCAATTGATGTAGTTTTTTGATGCTTCTTTTTGGTTACTAGGAAATTAAAAAGTTATATTATTTTTTGTAATTAAAGAGTTAGAAAAGAACTTATGTCCAATTATTTGATATAGTAGAAGAGTTTAACTGAATTATAATCTTGTGGTTAGATTGTGGTTACGTATTTATTTATTTTTGTATTAATTATTATTGATTGATCATAATTATAATTGCAGAAAAAAGGAAATAGATTTGGAACTTGTGATTTGTTATTTCAATTTATACAGGCGCCTTTACCAAAAAGAAAAAAAAACATAGTAATTGTTAAATTTTTAAAAAGGATATATATATATATATATATATATATATATATATATATATATATAAACTCCATACAAACTTATGCATGCATCAAAAAATAATTAAGTGATAATTAAACTTTGGATCCTCAAAATAATACTAAATGATTTTCAATGCATGAAAAGTATTACTGTAGCATCCATGTGTATGAAAAATTGGAATATTTATTTGCTTATATACTCGTTTCTTAAAATATGACAAGGGATTTTCAATTATTTCTTTGGTCCTTTCACTTATTTTTTGTATGAAAAGTGCAAATCATGCGTTGCAAATAGTGCGTTTTGAGAATATGGTCAAATATAAATTATTTGAAAGATTAGTTTGCTATGACTACAAACAAAACAAACAGGACATAGATAGCATCATTGCGATATATAGACGACAAGGATGCAGTCTCCACACGCTTCTATGTGGACTGTATAACCTTATCGCATGAATGTCTATTTTTATCGGAAGTAATTTTCAACCCATCGATCATAACAGTTTTTATTGAAGACAGATGGAAATCTACATATTATTTCTATACTATTAATTTTTATTGATTATATTGTCCATTCTAAAAAATAAAATACTTTACATATGTCACACAAACTTTATCTAGATAATATTAAAAATACAAATTCTATACAAATTATATATTTAAATATCTATTGAAAGAAAAATCATAATATATATATATATATGTGTGTGTGTGTGTGGAGTTTAAAGAAATGGAACTAAAAGTTGTACAAGAAAAGAAAATTTGGACAAATCAAATCAGTCTATAATCAAACTTACAAAATGGTGGTGACTGACCTATAATATAAGGCTATAATTCAAGCTTATTTGTACAAATCAACTTGCTCGGCTCTTCAGTTCCGGTGGTTTTTGAGCTGTTAAATTCAATTTAGTTTGGTTTTTATCAAGTCAATTGTATAGACGATCCATGCTCTTACCCTAGACCGATTAGGTGCCCATTTTACTAGTTCTTGAATTACATTAGTTGGTGATTTAATTGATTAACTAGCAAATCTCTGCTTTCTATTACCATGTGATACTTTTTAACTTGAATTCTTTAAAAAAATGAAATGCAAAGAGTTTATTGGCGTGCTATATAACTATTAGCTATTGGATTCGAATAGACAATGAAATATATAAATAAATAAATAATAATAAAAGATTTAGACTAGTTGCTATTTACTATACTATTTATACACTTATAAAATATTATTTACTTACTATTTATTTAGACTCATGTGTATTGTATTATAGTATTTTTAGGATTTTTAAGTTGCATTGAGGCATTTATATCCAACCTTTTTCCTAAGATTATACTTTGGTCTTTTATATTTTGAAAAATTTTATTTTTGTCTTTAAATTTATTTATGTTACAATTTAGTCCCTAAATGCAAAGAGAGGAGAAAGAAAGCCACGATCAGCTCTAATTTCGACCTCTTTGTGATCAATTTTGCATTCATATTTTTTATTTTAGCGATAAGAATGTGCTCATTATAATTTTAAATCATAAAATAATTAAAAAGTTAGATCCGAACTTTAAAAAATATATATCTTACTCTTATTGTTTAAAATTAATTTTTTAAAAAATTTTTCTTATGAAAATTATCATAAAATTAATTTTTTGTGGTGGTTATAAAAGATGTCACTTTTTTTTGTCCTTTACCGCATGAGCTAAATTCAAGTTTGAAAGCCATTCCAAAATCCAAAAAAAAAAAAAAAACCACTCCATTTGTTTCACTTAGCTAAAGCTTAACTTGTTCGTCAAACCCAAATCATGCCACCACCTTCATCATTGACAACAAGGAAATAAGTAAATAACTTAAGCAACAATGTTGCGGCCTAGCTTGATTAACATCTTTGTTAATTAGTTTGTTTTAGTCATAGCTTGACACCTCCAGGAGATCTCTTTGCAAGACTAATTGCATCATGTTGAAATCCAACTTAGACAGTTTGAGAAGCATAAGATTTGCAACTCGCCTTCTACTATATGATTCAACGTACCATCATGCTTCTAATCGTTAGTAACTAATATAAATCATACTCGGAATCTCTTCTAGCGAGTTTAAAAGTAAAACAATAATGAATAGTACAAATGTTGAGAAGGAGCTACCTACTATAAGGTTTAAGTCTTTTAGATAGAATCCAATTTCAATTTTCTAACGCTATATAGTATCGAGCTTCAAATAGGCCATTTGATCTTGGAACCCAAACCATTTGATAGACCCCAAAAGATCGACTCGCAAGTAAGAAAGAGTGTTATAGTACATATCTCATATTAATCATTTTTTCTATAATATGTAAAGGCGGTTATAACCACCTCTACAAAGTAAAAAAATCACCTACAATACCTTTTTTTGGTGTAATGACAAAGAAATCGTCCATCAAACATAAATTTAACCAATGTTGGAAGCCATAGAAAAATGCCTAGAACAAATTAAATATGCTACAATCATGAGAATGTACCTTGAAAGACTTCATAGCCATGTTGCCTAAGGAGCTCGAAGATCAAAGAAGTAGCACGGAGAGATTTCCCTATAATTTTGAAATCGGATCCTTCTAGCAAGAAAACTTTTTCAAGTTTATTCTTTATGTCCGATTTGAGCCGGTGGCCCAACCCTAACCTTTGGATGTCATCGATCATTTCAAGTATGATCATTAACTCGTATCAACCTTGTTAATCATGGACCTAACCTCCTCTTCTAGCTTCATTGCCTTCTCTTTATACATTTCATCCTAGGCAGCAAATGCATGAAATGATTAGAAGCAAAGCCAAAGTAAAATTTGGATATGTCATGATTAATTAATCATATATATAATTAGTGCAATAGTCATTAATTTGCATGTTTAGTTACCGAGTAAACGAGTGTTTAGAGATCGTAGGAAGTTGTAACTCCATGTGGCTTCGTCGATAATTAGCCGACTTCCTTTCATTTGATGAATTCAAATTTTATGCCTTGGAGAACAATGGATCCGCGACACGGTTTTAAATAGCGGTCGCGGATGAAAAAATGGTCACGATCGTGATCGCGGGTCGCGGCTCATCGTGGTTATAAAATAACGATCGCAACGAGTTAATTATGTGAATAC